TGCTAGGTTTCAAATCTTTGGTACTAAAATAAACTTGTACTTGAATTCCATTTTCTCATGATCTTTTTGAAGACCTTTCATTTATGTAGATTAATAATTGAGAACATTTCATTATTGCCTCCCAAGTAGCTGGGGCTACAAGCACATGCCACCATGCTGGGCTTTTTTAGGGTGTGTCAGGTATAGAACCTGGGCCTTCCAAGTGGCTTCAGCTGCCAATTAGAAGTATCCACCAGCATGTGCTCCTGCAGCTGTACTAAGAATGGAACATTTTAATGTTTGTTATTCTGCCAGCCGTATGACCATTTTTAGTGAACCAGCAGGAGAGGCAATTTTTAAATTTGTGAAATGGAAAATTATTCAGTTAGTTACAGTTTGGTTAAGAAATATTTTAAAATATTAATACTATGTCTGAAATAGACACACCAAAACATATATACCACCTTTTCATTCCTACTTTTCGATGTTTAAAGAAATAGATTGGATTTTCAGGGCACAAAAGAAATGGGAGGTAACTGGCATTTAAGAAGCTGTCCAATTTAATGTTTTTTTTTAACTTAGTATATGCATATAGATCAACTCTTGGAACTATTTCATGGACATTTAACAGTTATTTTTATAGTAACTCTACATTATGTCCCATTAGCCAAACCTAAGCTCTAGGTGCTCGCCAAAGTGATGGATCAGCACCACGGACAGAGGAGTGTGGGGTGCAAAGTTGCTCTAAGACTGCTTGTAAAATAACAGCTGTGAGATTAAACATTCTATTGAAGAAAGATTCCTGTGAATGTTCTTATTGGGACCGTGGGAATAGTGTCTCTAAATCTGGGTCAATTGAGAGGAAGGGGATCTTGAGAAAATAGCCATTCCTCCAAGATATCTCTGAATAGCATGACCTGTATCATTCATAGGCCTAAATTGAATCATGTCTTTTTCTACAATTTGCTCTTCTGTTCCCAAGGCACTAACATTTTCAAGCTAAAGTAAATGTAAACACCTAATTAACAAATGTGGAAGGGAACCAGCAGTTAGTGTAATGGCTATGTTGCTGGACTCCTACGTAGTCGACCACGGTTTGCATCCTAGACCCGGTGGCTTAAAACTCACGCCGGGCGCGTGTGCATGCGTGCCCAAGATCCCGAGAGGAGAATGGAGGAGAAGGGATTGCGGCGTGACCATCCCCCCTGGGGAGTGATTTCTCGCTTTCTGTCTCTATGTCTCTCTCTGTCTGGCTGGCGAGCACACGCTCCCTATAGCAAAAAATCTTTTAAAAAAAAAAAAAAAGTGGAAGACATCTGTTCTCCTTACCTACCCAGCATCTATGACCCTTTTTTTCTTTGCAAATCACTCTTTGAACAAATAATATATTTTTAAGACTAATATTAAGGAATTGTTGATGCAATTGGGAAGGTTTATCACGACATAAAGTTATGTTTAAAACTGAAGTCCCAGGCTTTCAGCAATATACTCTGATATATTCTCTGTCTCTCACCTATAGAATAAACTCCTTAAAGTATACATACACATACAAATACATGTGTGTATGTCTTATGTGAGTTCCTATGAGCTTACTCAAAAAAAAAAAGAGGAAATTCCTGAAGTTATGATCCTGCACCTAAGAGAAAATGAAGAGCAAGCCTGAATCCCTCTGTTCCAAGAGTTTTAAGAAGGTATGTTATAACTGCTATGGAGACAGGAGAGTTTATCTTGTTCAAGTCCATGTGACAGAGGAGGAAGTTCAGATATCCAGAAATGATCAGTTTCTTCTAGAGCAAGATGTCTTAGCAGAGCAGTTTCTCAGAAATGAAACCTTTTCATGCACCAACCACTAGCAGCCTAGAGCTACAGGGGGCTGGGACTGAGTATAAAGAACAAGATATATGGTTGGTATGGTCAATAAACTAAGCTCTAAGTAAGAACCAAAGTAATAACAACAATAAAATAGTTTAAACATAAAATAGGCTGAGTAAGTAGAGGGAACCAAAATATGATCCCAACACACACAATATGAGGGAGAGGAGCTGAAAACATGGAGAGCGTGAAAAGGTACAACTAAATAATTCTAGAGGTGTGGGTATAGGCAGCTTTTCCCGCAGCAGCCATGTCAGAAGCAAGTAAAAAGTCAGCATAGAAGCTGCCAGATAAATCAAGAAAATGAGTGTAAAGTGTTTTCAATCCTGTAAAACTGCAACATTAGGGGAATTACTCAGAGGCTATGGACAGCAGATGAGATTGAGAACTACTGTGTGTGAAGCACAAGCTCCTGGTACATAGTGGTTAAAAAAATCAAATTCTCTGCTTCACTTAGCTAACTTTTTAGTGGGAGAGACAGATAAATGTACAGTATTTGCCAATTATGTGAAAGTGTTAAGTCTGCCAGCTTCTTTAAAAAAAAAAAAAATCAGACCTGGCAAGGCTCACTTGTTATTCCTGCATGGCAACAAAAGGCTGGAGCCACTTCCTTTTACAGAAAACCTAGACTCTAGTTCACTGCAGTAGCCCCCTCCCCATTTCCTATTATCTAACACCCCACCTACTTCACTCGCTTCTATGATCTGCCTAAGCGCTGCATGATTTTGAGTTTGCAAACTTTTCTACCCAGTGTCCACAAGATACTTGAGATACTTGTCTCTCCTACAGCTACCAAATGACACAAGAACTTGAAAGACCCCATTCTTATCTAAGTCAGAAACCTGGATTGCCACTCAACCTGAAGTAACCTCAGGGAGTTACATCATCCTGAGGTGTCAGTGCCTTCGACTCTAAAACAGAGGTAGTCATACATGCTTTACAGCAGTGTTGTGAGGACCAGGCTTTGCAGAATTAGCTCTTCCTCATTTGGAGCTCATATCTAGCAGTACTTCTTCAAAGAATCCTCCCCAGGTCTCGTGAGTAGATCAAATCCTTTCATATGCCTAAGTTCTTTGCATTAAATTTCAGTTCTTGGTAGCACCCAATGCACTTATAACTGCACATTAGCTTATGGATTATTTTAACAATGTGCCTCTCCCACCAGACTGAAAACTTGCAATAATGGCAGGAGAGTCTGTTTTTGCTCACCAGCTATCATGTCAGACACAAAATAGTTGCTTAATTAATACTGTTCAAAAAAAAAAGCTGTAATGATTTTGGTACAACCTCTGGTACACATTAGATTTTTGTTGTTGTTGTTGTTGTTGTTGTTGTTATTTTGTTTTGGTTTGGTTTTTGTTATAGGGTGTGGTCGCTAGCCAGAAAGACAGAAAGCGAGAAATCACTCCCCAGAGGGGATGGCCATGCTGCAATCCCTTCTCCTGCAATCCCTTCTTTCTCCTCCATTCTCCTCTCGGGATCTTGGACACTCACGCACACGCATCAGGCGTGAGTTTAAGCCGCTAGGTCAGGGACTCAAACGGCGGTCGACTACATGGTAGTCCAGCGACATAGCCACTACGCTACCTACCTGCTGGACCCCGCATTAGGTGTCTTAAAGATTCTCTCTGACCTTCACTCACATAGTGCTGTTATGTACACGTACTGTAAAGCCTCTAAGCTATGATAATTTGCACATCGATTTTAACTACCTATGAGAAGGAAGTCACTAACCTGTTTTCTAGTAAGCTACCTACCCCATACAACAAGATTTCTATTTTACTCACTGACGTTTGCCAAGTGCCCACAACATAGACCGGCACATACTAGGACCTCAATAAACACTGGAGGGCTGGAAGGTAGAACAGGCATAGTTCCAGGAAAGCTGACTCCTGGCCCCGGGGTACCACCAGGAGGCAGCTGGGGTCTGGAGAGATGGACTCTAGGGTTTACTTCTGACCATGCTTACTTGGCCACCGCGACTTCACCAGGGCCAGGGGTAGGAAGAACCCCCAAAGTGACAAGGTCTTCCCTCGTGAAGTCCCTCGAGGAATGGTTAGGGCCACTGATGGGTCCTCGGAAGCAACTGGGCAGCGCAGTGTCCCTACGCTCCCCAGCGGAGATCCCGCGGAGTCCCTTCGCAAGACAATGCAGTGCCCACTGCTCGCGTCCTTCTTCGCGGCGGCGGCCAGGGCTCTGCGCCGTCAGCCTGGCAGTGCTCGTCCCCTCCGAGATGTCTCCCGCCGTCTAGACTCTCTGCCTGAGGCGGAACGGTCAGCCTCTTTCCCCGCACTGTTCCACCGTCCCTGGTAGAAAGTTGCTCCAGCGCCAAAGTGTCGCCCCGCCCCGAGGAAGACGCTCCGCGCCCCTCCACGATCCTAGAGTCCCTTGGCGGCGCGTCGCCGCACTACG